CAATCCTTCGGGTCTCACTGCCTTCTCTCCCGTGATTCACCTTGTTTTCCTTTTCTCTACAGTTTCTCAATTGTTATTTTTATTTTTCGTTGAACAGGGCGATTTATTTGGGGGAGACTTTTTGTAGTTACATCAGTATCAACAACAGCTCTAACTTTGAAGTTAGAGACATAATTATAAAGGTTATTATGCGTAATGTGTTGCCTTTCTTTTTGATGAATTTCAATCAAACTGTTTATTTCAGCTTTAATTCGGCTTCTGGTTGAAACTGTGAAAAATTACTTAGAATATTTGTTTACGATGGCTAGTATTCGTTAACAGCTTAATTTTAATTAGAGCTTTCTTTTTTTAGTTCATTAATAATAGTGACTGCAAATACATGCATTTTATGGATTCGTAGAGTTCAACCTTAACTGGTTACGCACACAAATTGTACCTTTATGGTAGAGAAGATAAATGTGTCCTTTTTGGTTTATTCAGGCTGAAATTCAAACAGAGAGGCAGAAGATCCTCCTCTTGGATACATCAAAATCGCCAGTTGAATCCATACGTGCAGGGGGTCGATATGATTTTATTGTGGAACATGATGTGAAGGAGCTTGGAGCTCACACGTAAGTTTTATCAGCCCAGTTTGGTCTGGGACTCCTTTATGCTTATAAAACTGTTTCTTTCTAACTCGAACAAGATGTGTTGCCTCAGAATGTAGACTGGTGTGTACTGCACTGTACAATGATGGTGATGGTGAGAGAAAATATCTTCCACAGTTTTTCAAGTTCAGTGTTTCGAACCCACTATCAGTTCGGACAAAGGTACTATCTCTATACTTTTGTAGTAGATATTTTTTCCTGTTAAATTGAAGCTTTGCTTCTGTTGTGCTATTATTAGATTTATCTATGTGGTTTTGCGTTCCAAACTGAATATGATATGTTTGTTTCTGCTGTGCAGGTCCGCGCTGTCAAGGTAGGTTGAGATTGATTAGACAAAGTGTAAGTCAAGGAAACATAGATATGCATCTTGCTGTTTTTACATCTTCTTAATGATAACTATACTTAAAATGCGTATAAACAAGAGCAGCAATTTTCTTAAGAGGAAGTTCTTCTAGCTTTTGTATCCAGCATTTCTATAATAATCATGGTAAGGCAATTTTAATAAATGAAGTTGATATAAAATCAATGCCAGAACTTTCCTCTCATATTTTTTTTCTTCGCTTTTTCATATTTCTAATGGTGCTCCATTGGCGAGTTACTTTTATCTAATTGTTTCCTGCTTACAACTTTCAAAATTATTTATATTCTTAGATCAGGCTATACCTGTATTGACATTAGCTTGTAATTTTTTAATTGAAATTTTGATATTTGTTGGAATCACAATCTGTTTGAGGATAGAAATCCATTTCCCATCATGTTGGCATCTGGTTGACCCTGTGTTAATAATGATAAAAATTTTCAGCTAATGTCTTACCATCATCTATGTCAATTATAAACCTCTGTGATGACTATGTTTTCCTTCTCAGGAAACTACATATTTAGAGGCTTGCATTGAAAATCATACAAAATCAAACCTCCATATGGATCAAGTTGACTTTGAACCATCCCAGCATTGGAGCTCTACAGTACTACAAGCAAATGAAAACCATCTTGTTGGCAATGATTCAACAAGGCAAGTAGCAAAATCTGTCACACTAATGTTTGTCAGATGTATAGCTCTAATGTTTTTACGATTAAGAGATCGCGTGCCAAATCATTTCTCTTTTTTTTTTGGGACAAACAAATCATTTTCTTTAATATTGAACTTTTTCATTTCTAAAACTGACATCACCTTCACTTTATTTTTGATCCCATGCTTGCAGAGAGATATTTAAGCCACCAATTCTTATCAGATCTGGTGGGGGAATTTACAATTTTCTCTATAAATTGAGATTCTCTTCACGGGATTCTGGACAAGTCAAAGTTGAGGGAACTAATATTTTGGGTAAACTTCAAATAACATGGCGTACAAATCTGGGTGAGCCTGGCCGCTTACAAACACACAGCAAATACTTGGCACTGTAAGAATATGTTCTTCAATTTCTATAAATGCTAGCTTCGTTTCTGTATAGTGCTTTCAAATCTCTCACCAAACTAGAAATATAGTTTGACACTTTTTTTTACTTCGGGAGTTTATGGTTTGCATGAATTAATGGCTAATTAAGTTGTATTTTTCCACTGCAAACTGATGGGGTTACCTCCCTTTATAGTTTTTTCTTATACTTCATGGTAATCCTTGTGTTGAATCTTTATAGCCTCCTGAGGTACCATTGGACATGTTATGAAGTATTATTCTGTTTTATACAAGTTCGTGGCATTGAGCTGTTGGAGCGGAATAGACTTTCTGGAATATACTTAGGACATTTTCCACCTATAATAATTATATTTTCTTAAAGTTCGCTGGTTGCTGATGATTGGTTTTTCAGCTTTGGAATCATAGTGATAGAAAGCCCTAGCAGCAGCCTTGGAATCTTAGTGTTAGAAAGCCCAAGCAGCCAAAACTCCGATTTTCTAATCAAGGATTACATGCACATAGAGAAGTTACTCTTTTATGTTAATGACATGCATATATACACATAGAATGGATCGTGTTTCAGCTTCTGGAAAATGTCTTTTGCAGCTTATTGCACGCAAAGATGTCGAGTTGCGTTTAGTGGAAGTTCCATCTGTAATCAACTTGGATAAGCCCTTTTCGGTAAATTCTGTTTGTTCAATGTTTTTGCTTTATGAATTCAAGAGCATGCACTTTTTCAATAATTCTTAATGTTCTATGCTTCTTCTGTTATTGATTTCCTCTTTTGCTTCATATTATTTATGCAATATGCCCTGGTTTTAGTGATTTAATTGACTTGACTATATGTACAAAAAACAAAAGATTGACTTGACTGTTAAACTATTCACTGCTTTGCAGGTACACTTGAATCTTGTAAACCATACTGATAGTAAGTTGGGCCCCTTCGAGGTTTTCTTATCACAAAATAATTCACATGAGGAGAAGGTTGTTATGATTAATGGCCTTCAGACAATGGTAATTACAGTAGCTGGCTTTGTAACATTGTCCTTGCTTTACTACAACATTCTGTTCAAGCATTTTATGGCAGGACAAAGTTTAGTAATTGACCAACACGTCAGTCATCACTCTAGCTATATTTTGTAGCAGTTAGTTTCCCTTCTTAGTAAGATTTAAGAAAAACAGTGGACTGCCACACTTTTAATAATGATTTGACTATTATATACAGGCATTACCACAGTTGGAGGCGTCTGGTTTCACAGATTTCCATCTGGTATGAGATATATCTTTAACTTAAAACTGAATTTGGTTTTCTCTGTAGTAGAATGACTTTGCACAACAGTAAACATAAACTATGCGTGATCTCTTCGTATTTGTTTGGTATTGTTTTACCCTATTTCTCCACCTATATACAAAATGTTGAATAAATGGGAAAACCATTCCCTAGCTTTGTGGTAATTGTTGTACGGCAATCCATTATTTATAATGTACTCCATCTTCAACAACTTTTACTGGGGGTTCTTTATGGTGTGTTTCACCTCAACAGGAAGTTTGACACAATTGACTTTTTGTTCTATGTTTGCATGTGTAGAACCTAATTGCAACAAAACTTGGGGTCCAGAGAATTACGGGCATTACAGTATTTGACACACGAGAGAATAGAAATTATGACCCATTGCCAGATTTGGAGGTTAGTATCCATGTTAGGGGACATACTGTTCTCTGTAGACAACTAGAAGTTATAAATGCCCTGTTTAAATAAATCTCTCAAA